AACACAAAATCCAGCGTGTAGAAGACACAGCACCAGTGATCCTGGATGCTTGGTGGGGCTTACGTGCCTTGGAGCGAGCATTCACTGCATTCTGAGAGGCTCTGTAGCTGTAGCAGAGTGAACCTTTTCAGCAGAACAAACGCACAGAAAAAGTGAACACAAACCCACACAAACGCCCTCAGAAAGGTGCAACCCGGCAGTGCAGGGGGGCAGGACACAGGGTGTGAGAACAGGGGACAGAGGGACCAGAGGCTGGGCACATCGTGGGGGGGTCCTGCAGACCTCCCATCCCTGAGGTCTGTAGGAAGTCAAACCCCCGGGATCACTGATGCTGGCACTGGCACGGGCTGCTGCCTCTGGGGAACCTCGCAGGGAGCCCTCATACCGACCACCCTCCCGGGGAGCCCCGACCCCGACCACCCTCCCGGGGAGCCCCGACACCGACCAGCCCCCCGGGGAGCCCCGACACCGACCACCCCCCCGGGGAGCCCCGACACCGACCACCCCCCTGGGGCCGCCCCCTCGGCGCGGCCACTTCGCCACCTGGTGGCCGATCCCGGGGTAGCGCCGGGCACGGCCGGGACGGGGCTGGGATGTTCCCGAGCCGAGGAACATCCAGGGAAGGAGAAAACCCTGCCCTTTTTTTTTTTTTTTTTCTCCTTTCGACCCCAGAACCGAGCGGTGCCGCTGCCCTTCGGCGAGGGCTGGGAGCGGTCTGGACCCCCGAGGAGAGCAGCGGAGCCTCCGGTGCCTCCCGTCGGATGTCCCGAGCAGAGAGCACCGTCGGGGCGCGGCCGCGCCTCCTCCCTTCCCGGCGCGGCTCCGGGGAAGGCCTGGGAAAGGGCCCGGGCGGGCGCCGAGGGGCGACAGACCCGGCTCTCCCTCACCATCACCCGGCGCTGTAAACAACCGGAATAAACCGAGAGCCTCCCCTTTCCCCTTTCCCACCCTGCCTCAGAGCAAGGACGGAGCAAACGCTGCCTGCGGCTAAGAACCGGCTTCGCATCAAAATAAACATCTGCTTTCCCCCTGATAATGTTTTTAAACTACACACACACACCCCCCAAAAACACCCACACGGATCAAAGTGTCTCTGGGTTCCCAGAACCTGAACCCCGCTGTGTCCTCCCGTACGCCCGGCCCGGGACAAGAACCGTCCCCCCGCGGGCGCAGCGGTCCAGAACTGGATGAGTGGGGTCGGGAAACCTGTGAGATGCCTCTGCCTGGAGGAAGGACCCGGGCAGAGGCTCCGAGGGGAAAAGCCCTGGAGCGGGCAAGGGGGACTGAGGCTCACCCAAGCCGGGACCAGCTGTGCTCCACACCGGGGCTCCAGGACGCCCCATGAGGGCTCAGCCCCGCAACCCCACTGATAGGGCGGGAGGGAGGAGAGGGCCGCGCGCAGCCCCGTAAATCCCCTCCGGGCACAGGTGCGGCCCCGAGCGCGCAGGTGAGGCCGGTGCGCGGGGATGCCCGGCCGGGATGGGGGGCGAGGCTTCGCTGGGCACGGGGGTGTGTCTGTGCGTGAGCAGGGGCTCCGCCGGGGTCCCGCCGCTGCCCTTTGTCTATTGATCCGCGATCGGGAGCCGCAGACAGAGCGGCGGCCCCGCGGGTAATTGGGGCTCCAGGGCCGTGACCGCGGCTGATCGCCCCCCGCCCCTGCGCGCCGCGGGGGGCAGCGCCGGCGGGGCCTTAATTGGGAGCCGGGGCCGGGGCTTGGCCAGCTCCGCTTTGTCCCGGGCGCGGAGGCAGCGCGGCGGCAGGACGGCGCCAGCCCGGCATAAAGAGCTGCCACCACCCCGCCCGCCCCGTCGGACCGGGGCTCCTCTGCCCCGACGGCCGCACCCCGTAGTCGCACGGCCGGGGCTGGCCGAGCGGCCCAGATGCTCACTGAAATGTTCAAATGGGGGACTGGAACCTGTGTGTGGCACCGACAGGCCCTGGGAGCCCCCAGGGCTGGGGGAGCTCCCGAGGTGGGACAGGACCCTGGCACCACGGCATGCCCAATTCCATGGAATCATTCTCAGGATGCTGCCCATCTGCATTTCCTCTGGGCTGTGCAGTGTCTGCTCCTATAAACCCCACTCAGCAGTAACAAAAAGCCCTATTTCCACACCCTTCACAGAAGTCAGGGCCTGGGTGCACACAGAGAGGTGCCAACACCTCCCTTGCCCCTTCTGCAAATTTCAGTACTTAAAAGGGGGTTTATAAAAAGATGGAGAGCACAGAGTTTACACAGACAGATAGGATAGGACAAGGAGGGGACAGTTTTGAACTAAAAGAGGGGGAGATTTAGATTAGATGTTTGGAGGAAACTCTTCCCTGTGAGGGTGGTGAGACGCTGGTACAAGGTTCCCAGAGAAGCAATGGATGCCCCATCCCTGGAAATGTTCAAGGCCAGGCTGGACAGGGCTTGGAGCAGCCTGGGATAGTGGAAGGCACCCCTGCCCATGGCAGGAGATTGGAGTGAGAAGAGCCTTAAGGTCCTTTCCAAAACAAACCATTCTATAGTTCCATTATTCTGCCCTGCATCCATGACCCAACATGCTCGGGCAGTGCACGGTGGCACTGGGATAACACATGGGCACGGGGCCAGCAGCACAGCCCTGCAGCCCAAATGAGGGCTGGGTGGTCCTGCAAAGCCACCACTGGGCTGCACAAGGACGGGACCTGTGGCAACATTCCCCCTCCACGGGGCTGCGAGATTCTCTGGCATGAATCCATATTCCTGTTTACAAACAGCCGCCCGTGGAGCTGTTCCAGCAGCACTATTGTGCTGCACGGCAGCTCAGCGGCCAAATCAGCCAGGGGTTTGTCCACCAGGTCCACAAAACCCTTAGGGCAAGAATGCTATTTTTAGTGTCTGGCCAAGCACCTTGTGCATTTAGCTAAGGAAATTCAGAATTCTCCGCTAACACTGGTGGAGACCTCAGTGTTCAAGGATCTCACTGCGTTGGTGACATGGCACCAGCGTTACCTGCTGGTTAAACACCAGCCCTGGAGGTCACTGGAGCACCCAGAGCTTTATTTTCATGACTTGACAGTGCCCACGGGACCATGGCCAAGCCAGGTTTTGCCAGGTGCAGAGCAGCAGAGCCATGTGGGGGTTGTGCCGGGTGTGCCCCTGCGAGGCCTCCCAGAGCCTTTTCATAGCTGAGGAAAATAATCCCAGCGCAGTGCGTGACTAATCGGTAGCTGCTCATCGAGCTGCTTGAATAGGGTTTCTCAGAGCCTAGGTTTGGCCAGGGCAGGCCTGGAGCAGCTTGGCTCCTGCCAAAACACCCCAATGCCCATACCCCCTGCCTGGGGGGGCCCTGCTCCCTGCCCTCGGGCACCATCCCTTGGGGTCACCATCGTGAACCCATGCTCTGCTCAGAACACTTTTCCTCTCTCCAGCGAAGAGCAGCTTTGTGCTCAGTGGGCAGGTTGGGATGTCCCATTGGCACCAAGAAGGAAGTGATGTTTAAACACTCACTGTCCCACAGAACCAAGATGGGTGATGTGGCTGTCCCTGACCCACCAGGGTGGCAGGAACCTGGCACGAGGTTCCCCGGCGTGTTCGGCAACACTGTCACCATCTCCCTGCTGTGATTCTCCCAGCCAGCTCAGCCTAAATCCAGCATGGTTGGATTGGAGGGGGAAAGGGCCAGGAGATCCCCCACACTGGCACAGGCTGTGCCCCCTCACTAAAAATAGAGCCCATTAAATCGCTACTCATCCTGAGTGATGTTTATTCGGAAATAAGCCTAATTTTAGTCACTACACTTCCCTCCTCCTGCTTAAGCCGTTCCCACCCTGCCGGTCCCCCCCCCCCGCCAGCGGAAATGGCCTCACTCCTCTCGCAGAGGCAGCGGCTCCTCTCCCGCCGTCGAGGGACCCAGCGCCAGCATCTCCCCTCAGACACGGCCACGACGGGTGTGTGGGGGGGTGATCCAAAGCCCCTTCCCCGCCTGCAGCCCCCCCCGGAGGGCTGGAGCGGGGGTTCGGGGGAGGCCGAGGAGGAGCCGCGCCCGCCCACGACCCGCCCCGTCGGGGCCGCGCGGCGGCGGGTGCGCGGCGGCACCGGCAGAGGGAGCCCCGCGCCCGGCGCTGCCGCTCCGGCCCGAGGGGGCCGCGCCCCCGCCGCGACCGGGGCCGTAAATCTTCCCGGGAACGGGAGAAGGGTAATTGGTGAGGAAAAGGGCTGTTTGCGTCCTCCGCGGCCGCGCTCCGCAACGCCCCGAGCGGCTGCGGGCGCGGGGGGAGACGTGGGGACCCACAGCCCCCTCGCCGGGCCAGCCACATCCCCGACGGTACCGGCGTGTCCGTGTCATTCCTTCACCATCCCTGACGGTACCGGCGTGCCCGGACCACTCCTTCACCGTCCCCGACGGTACAGGTGTGCCCGGGTCATTCCTTCACCGTCCCCGGGTCACGCCTTCACCGTCCCCGGCTCACCCCTTCCCCGTCACGCCTTCCCCGTCACCCCTTCCCCATCACCGACGGTGCCGTTCTGCCCCGGTCACCCCCTCCTCACCGGTGCCGGTGTGACCAGCGCACCCCGGTCCCCGCCGGTACCGATGCTCATCCCCTCAGCACGGCGGGACGGCACCGGCGTCCCCTGGCTCTGCTTTCGCGGGTGGCCCCGAGGACAGCGCGGGCAGACTCCCGGTGCCGATCCCTCCCGCCGCACCCGGCAGGGCCCCGTGCGCACCTCCGCGCCCCCGCCCCGCGCACCTGCCGCGCCACCCCCGCCCGCAGCGGGGTCTTACGGGGCCGGTAAAGGCCCTGAAGGGGCAGCGATCCCCGACGGGCAGAGCCGGCGGAGGGTCCCCCTGCCCCAAGAGCCCCTTGCAACGCTCCGCCGGCGCGGTGGCAACCCGGGGCGTTTTCTTTCCCCAATAAATAAGGGGGTCGGCTGCGGAAGCTCCGCGCAGCTCGGAAGGGGGGCGGCTCCCAGCGCTGCGCACCTGCGGAGGAGCGGCGGCCCCGACAGGAATGAAACAGGCGGGAGCCGGCAGGACTTCTCCGAGTAGATTTTTTTTTTTTTATTGAAAGATGTGAGAATTCATCAAAACCGAACAGACAGATACCCGAGTAACCAGCACGTTGCAAATCATGTATCTTTTTTATTTTAAAACAAATATAGAGCACAGTCCTGTGATATTTAAATTTATTATACTTTTTTTTTTTTGTTCTGGAGTGAAAAATAAAAACCTGAGGTTTATTCCTGCATTCTCTATACCCCGCACTGTAGCGATATTTTAGTTAAGTTTTGGATTTGCTGTTTTTTTTTTTCTTTTTTCTTGCAAAAGTCCATTAAAGGATTGAACTCTTAGTTTCAGTGACTCCAAAAATCGTTTTACTGGTGGCACATGATTGTCCTAGAGAACAGGCGGGATAAACAATATTTTAAAACACAGTTAGAGAAACCGATATCTCCTTCAATCACAAAGAGCTAAATAGTTTTCATTTACAATATATATGTTCATGTAAAATGAAAAAAAAAAAAAAGAAAAAAACCCTTAAATGCGATGAGTTAAACTCTAAATATTATGTACACACCAATGTACAACTCTGAATAAATTAATACCAATTTGCATATTCTGGGATCCTTATAGCTTATTTACACAAATTACCATTTATTTCATAAATATCTGCCCAGGTACCCACGAGGCTCCCCCGCCGTGCCCGCTCTGCGCGGTGGCTGCCGAGGCGGCTTGTTTTCCATCTTCTGTTTCTTATATCTTTTTTTTTTTTCCTTATTTTTTAAATTATTTTTTCCTTCCCCCTCCCCTTGCACAGATGAGGGTTTGGCCCCTCTCACCTGCCCGGGATCGGGGCTGGGGCTGGAGTCGGGGTTGCCCCATCCATCAGGTGTCTCCACATGGGCTCGTTACCCCCCCTCGAGCTGCCCAGTGCCCGGAACGGGGGAATGGGGTGTCCTGGGGGCTCCGTGGCCTCACTGGAGTGGGGGGAGCCGCTCCCAGCCCCACAGCTGAAGGGGCAGGTGAGCCCCGCGCTCCGACCGCTCCCTCCTGGTTCCGGGGTGGTGGGTCCGCTTGGCCAGCGGGGTCCATCCCTTTGCTCCAGCACTCCGCTCCCTGTCCGCGCCCACCCCTCGCTCCACAATAAATATTTATACTGTGCTGTACAAAATACCAGTGCTTTCCGCCCCGCCGGGAGGGCTCGCCGCCCGCCCCGTCGGTCACTTGGGGGACTCTCTGCCGGGTGACAGCTCCCGCTGGCTCTCCAGCCCGCTCACCAGTCTCTGGATGTTCTGCAGTTCATTGAGGGACTCCTTCAGGGAGCCCTTGGGGGAGGCGGCGGGGCGCTGGCTGCCCCCCTTGTGCAGGGGCACCTCGGGGAGGGGGCTGGATTCGCGGCTGCTGCCGGCCTTGGAGCCCTCGGAGCCGGGGTTGAGGCTGGCGGGGAGGCCGGTGGTCAGCAGGTTGGTGCTGGGCGGGATGGTGACCGGGAGCTGGTAGGGGCTGAAGCGCAGGCGGGGGCGGCTGCTGCCCAGGAAGGGGTTGCGGGACAGCGGCCCCGCGGCCGCGGCGCTGGTGGCCGGCATGGCCGAGGCGGCCGCCGCTGCTGCCGCCATGTAGGTGTAGGGGTAGGGGAAGAGTCCGCCGAAGGTGGGCATCGGGATTCCCTGTGGAGAGAGGAACAGGGGTCAGAGCTGTGCAGATGCTGGGTCAGAGCTGTGGCGATGCCTGCTGTGTCCCCCCATTCCTGCCTGCCCCCCAGCTGCCTTCCCCCAGGAAAGCCAAGGCAAAGCTGGGACACCTCAGTGTCACCCTAAAAACACCGTGTGGGGATATCCATGTGGAACAGACTGCGGGATGGGGGTCCCCATCCACCCCAGGCTGATGACACCAAGCACAAACCCCTCTTTGAGGCCTGCCCCGTCCCCTCCCTGCGTGCTGCGTGCCCTCCTCTGTGCAGCATCACAGCCCTTTAACCACATTAAAACACATTGTTAAGCAGGATCGATAAATTAGGGGAGTTCAAAGACATCTTCATGTATTTCATCAGAGGGGATGGGAAAGGCAGCACAAGCCCAGGCATTGTGGAAGCTGTTTCAAAGCTGACAGGGAGACGGTGGGATGCTGGATGGGGACAGCCAGGTCAGGCAGGGCCACAGATCCTGACTCTGCCCTTGCTTAATGGAAGAACCATGGCAGCTGCAAAAAAAATCAGGATTCCTCCTCAAATCACCCCTGAGGCCAACTTTCTAAATGTCCCTCACCAGGCAGCAATGTCAGGGGTGTCACCCTCTTGTCCCCAGAGGCTGCAGAGGGCCTGGGGGGGAGGCTGGGGGCACCAAAAGCACTCTTCCTGCACTGGGGCCACCCCACATGTCCCCACAGGGGGGTGATGCTAGCCAAGCCTGGCTTGCATCCCCAAAGTCCTCCATCATTCAGGATGCCTTTTGGGAGGACACGGAGAGGAGGTGCCAGGGCCTGACCAGACAGCAGGGATGGGGATGCAGGACAGGCGCAGGGTCTTACCTGAGAGGCCAACATGTGCTGGGAGAGGTGGAAAGGGAAGGGGGTGGCCGTCCCTGCCGCGCCCGGGGCGGACGAGAGGGCTCCATTCTCCAGGCTGCCCCCACCGGTCACCGAGGCCAGCAAGTGTCCCATGCCCATGGCAGAGAAGGCGCCAGGGGCCATGGCGAACTGTCCCGGGTGGATGAAGAGGGGCTGCCCAGCCCCCAGCGGGCTGAAGAACTGCTGCCCGTGGAGGCCGGAGAGCGCCAGGCTCTGCAGGTGCCCGGCGCTGAGGTGCGGGGGGCTGTCCGTGTGCACCATCAGCGGGGCGAAGGCCTCCTTGCCCAGCCCGCTGCCCTCCGTGTCCTTCTTGCCCGGCTCCGTCTCTTTCCTCCGTCCTTCCACCTTGTCCTTCTCCAGGCCCCGCGTGCCGAACAGGCCCTCGCCGGGACCCTCCCGGGGGGATGCGCCATCCTTGACCTTCTCCGGGCTGTGCCTCTCCTTGCCCCGCTCCTCCAGGCACCGGGGGCTGCCGCGGGGCGTCGCGTCCTCCCCGCTGGGGCTGGCGGCTGCCACCGGCCGCTCCTCGGGCACCTTCTCCACCTCCGCATCACTGTCGGCCCCCGGCTTCTCCTCTGCAAGGGGATGGAGGGGCAGAGGGTCAGAGCAGAAGCACCCAGGGGAGGCAAGAGCCCTGGTGTCAGGGAGAGGTTGCGACAGCGAAGCTGCGATCGTTATTAAGGAGAGAAACTCATTTTGGGGGCAGAAATGGGCCCTCGCGCTACGGCCGCTCTGGGGAAAAGGGGATTAGCAACAGCAGTCCTGCTGCTCTGCCAAACAGAAAAACATGTTTGATGGAGAACCAAAATCTATTACAGCATCGCTCTCGTTAGCTGCAAACTCCGAGCGGGGGATGAGGAGAGCGGGCGCTGGACAGCGCGGGAGGAAATGGTCCTCCATAGATTTAATTACGTGGAGCTGATCAACTGCGTGCTGTGGATTTATTCCAAATGTGCAGGTTGAGGCAGGTTAAAGAGGCAGTTTTAAGGCAGGGAGTACGGCACAGACCCTCCTAAAAGGGGCTTTAATTTAAAAAACCCCATTGAGCTCTCAGAGGAGGACGGGGGACGCGAGGGGCTGGCGAGGGGAGCTGAACCCCTGCCCGGCTCCACTAAACGAGAAAAGCCTTTTGGTGCGGGTGAGGTGAAGCTCTGCAGGCTGGGGCGAATATTCGGGGAAGCCTTTGAAAGTGGAGAGGGGTGTAATAAACCCTCCCTCCAGATCAGGAGGGGGGGGGTTGCAGTTTTGATGAAGGTTTGCAGGGAATCGGGCTGGTGGAAAGTTTAAAGAGCAGATTGATAGTGCGGCGAGACAAAACCCAGCATCGAAAAACTGCTACGTGAAGCCGCTGGTTTATTTTCGTTCACCAGCTTGCAGCCCTGGAGTTACAACCTTTTTTTCTCCTTTCAAATGAATTAATTCTTTCTGAGTTTTTATCCTCTTTTTTCTTTTTTTTTTTTTTTTTTTTAGGGAATGTGAGCTTCCCATGGAAGGCAGGGCACACACCAGTAAGGAGCCAGGCTAATATGGAGAGCGCACGGTCTGCCTTGCCATTTCTCCTTGTATAATATAAATACAAGATATAAACTGTATAGAAGATGCAATATATAGTTTATATCTTGTATTTATATTA